TATTATTACCTCCTACTGTAGTAGGAATAGATCCATCAAAGATTGTAAAAAAGCTGCTACACACCTTGACATTTCTCCACAGATCTTGATGTGGTCTCAAAGAGAATTTACCTTTGTGGCCTTCCCGTCCCCAGCCCCAGCACGGCCCTGCAGCCCTCCCCGCCCTGTTCAGCCCTCACCAGGTGCTCACCTCAGCTCCAGCAGCAGCTCTGCAGGTCACAGCCACAGGGTCACAGCAGGGTCTCCAAGAAGCAGCTTCCAGCCATTCCAGTGGTCTCTCCAGCCAGGTTAAGGAGGCTGCTGGCACTCACCAAGCAGCTGAGGAGGCATTTGGCCTTCGTGGGGTCAGCCTTCAGGATGAGGAAGAAGAAGCAGCTAACTCCCTGGAGGAGGTAGGACAGGGCCGTGCCAGCACCTGCAGAGCAAGGAGGTGTCCAGAGCCTCTAAGACTGACCAGTCTTAGGCACTTGCCGAGAGGCATCCAAGAGAAGCGGAGTTTTGAGACTCTTGGGGTGGCTGCAGCTCTCCTGCAGAAAGAAGCAGGGAGGTTTGGTGTGCCATTTCTGACAAGACACCCACGGTATTCACCAGAGTCGCTGCCTTTCCCCCCCTTCCCTCCCTGTCTCCCCACATGCCCGGGAGACGCGAGCACCCTGCCTGCAGCCGGGGTGGGCTGGGGGGCCTCAGGTGCTTCCCTTCAGCTGGTGGGAAATCACTTGAGCAGCTTCACCTGAGCGCCCTGCCAGCTGCGGCTGCCCTTGCTCCTGCTGGTGTTTAACTCCGGCCTGGCTCCCAGACAGTTTTCCAGCTCCTGTCTGAAGTGCAGTTGGGGGTGTAAAGAGGAGGGGGCGGCCAGGTCTGCAGCTGCAGGAAGTGGGGTGACCCAGCCCTGGCAGGACTCAGCAGCTCCAGTGCCTGGCCCTCAGTTAGCGGCAGATGTACCAGCACATCAGGGCTTTACAGCTCCAAGGGGGCACAAACAGATTGAAACTTTGTTCTTCTGTTTACCTCAGTGCAAAAGGATTTAGTGACTGTACTCCTACGTGCATCCCACATAGAAGAGGCAGCTTTCATTATCTCTTTGCCAGTACTTTTCCTTTCCATAAATGAGGGCAAAATATTCCCTTCACTAGGATGCAGCTAACCATTAGTTTGCAACATTTGTTGCAGCTGTCAAGCTGAACATACACTGAGTCAAATATCCTTCCCCACTGTCTGTTTCATGTTTTTATTCTACGTGGTAATGGTGGTTTAAGAACAGGTTCTCTTCTGCAGGAGATTCACAGGGTTGTGACTCTTCAACTCTGGTACACATTTTTGAGTCAGCAGTGTAGTGTACCAGAAGGGAAGCAAATATTTGTTCCATAGTATGGAGTGTCTTTGCAAAAAAAAAAAAAAAAAGTTGCAAAATATGCAGTCTTATAAATTTCCTCTGATTTTCTTCATTACTATAGTTTGAGAAATGGCAGGTATTTATTATTTTCTAATTCTAGATATTTTTCCCTCACAAAGGTGGCCCTGACTCTGGCAAAGGCAGCCAATGTGAGCAGTTAGCCAAGAAATATGGATTTACTCACATGTCCACTGATGACCTTCTCCAAAATGAGTTATCATCATCATCAGAGAGAAGTAAATTGATCAAAGACATGATGGAATGTGGTGAACCTGTGCCTGGCGTAAGCAATGGTTTTATTTGGGGTCCTAATGATTGAACAAAGGAAGTGATAGGGAGATTGTCTAAAGGGTGGAAATAAGAGACTAGAGCTGATGATTTTCATTTAAGTAAAATCTTTCTGTACCTTGAGGGAGAAGTTTCCTCATTGCCAGATCTGTGGCACTTCTTTCCCCTTTCTTTGCCAGTATTTCTTTGCACTTCAGGTTCACATAGGCAAGATATAAGTAATGAAATACAGTGAGACAATGCTGTACCGTGCATTGCAAAATGTATGAATAAGTACAGGGAACAGAAAGTTTATGTCCATTCTTTAGCTTCACATTTCAGATTCAGAGCTGGTCATCCTGGCAGCTATTCTAATTTACAATACCTGCAGCAGTTCCCTGCAGAGCTGGCTGCCATCTCAGAGTAGCTGGACTGCAGTTTAATGGAGACTATAAGGACAGAGTGTGTTGTTCTCAGCTGGACTTGATTTTTGCATAGCAGACCCAAAGCCCCAACGCTTGGTGGGTCTTCAGCAAATGCATCTAGACTGTAGGATGTGTTTGTTAATGAAAGCTAGTGGGAACTGCTCAGAGGAAACTGGAAGCTGTACTGAGGCTTGATTTTGATTGCTTTGCTCTTTGGTGGTTTTGGTCAGATAAGTCTCTTATCACTTTCCATGTAATGTAATTATATCAGTGACAGCTCCATGCAATCAGTTTGGAAAATGCTGCAGCAGTGCTCCAAAGTTTAAAATGTTTTAACATTCATTTTGAAACTATGACATATTCTCAACTATCTAGAGGATACTTTGGGAACTCTTGGATGGGTTGCAACACTAGATTTGTAGTATAGCTTGTCCTGAGAGGAGAAAAAGTAAGGTCCCCTGCTACCTGAAGGAAAAGACAAACAGCTACATTCGCAGGACCTGCTTTTGGCAAGACAAGGCATTTCTCAAGAGTGTAGGACTAACATCAGTGTAACAAACAAAGGTATCAATCTTTCTTACTCATTAACGGGATAACTCCCTTTCTTTCCAATGCAGGGTATTGTCCTAGAGCTACTGAAGGAAGCCATGATTTCCAAGTTAGGGGACACTAAAGGATTCCTGATCGATGGTTATCCCCGGGACCTGAAAGAAGCAGAAGAGTTTGAGAATAAGGTGACCATATAATCATAAAGCTGTTGTAACTCCTATTAATATATGACTTCTGATGCTGCTTGCATTTCCACCTTCAGCTGCTTGCAGTGGGGTCATGCAAAAAGCCAATCCAGCAGTGCTGTTCTGCTGATCACTGAAACTTTGGCACCCCATAAATGTCGCAACTCCAGCTTTTGCCTTCACCTACACACACTCCATAATGCCAGGAAAAGTAAAGGCTGGTTTTGCCCAAATTTAATATAACCCAAGAACAACTCACATTTAGTGGAAAGCAAAATTTTTTTAACCAGTTTTCTATTTCTAGTGCACGGCTGCTGTACTTCTCATGAAAAGTTTCATCAAGCACTTTTTGATGTAAGTTTGTGAAAACATGTATCTTCACAGTTAATATCTGTTCCCATTCAGGCAGCTCTGCCAAAGCTTGCTGCCACTTCGAGCCAGCAAAACATAGATTGAATTTTTGTGATGAGTAACAGGTGGCATAGCCAGAAAAAGAGCATTTTGCAAGTGACTGCGTGGCAGTTCAGAGCGTTCCTGATTTTTTCAGTATGTGCTAAGACCTACTGAGAAGTCTCAGTTGTACATTTCCCAATCTGCAGAAAATACTCTATATGAGCCCTATGAATGACTTTGCCAGGGTTTAGTAGAAAAGAAGCGTTGAGCTCAGGGGAAATACTTAAGCATGTATTTCATCATATTGCAGTCCACGAATGACCTGTACAAGTTTGAAAGGTAATAAAACTTTAATGACTCATCTGTTTTCTTGCTGAATCTTTAACTGCTTTATTTAGTTGATTATCACAAAAGCCTGGCAAGATTTAGGCATCAGAAGCTAGACAAAATAATGAGTAATCGTTTTTGCTATAGAAGCCATTCACCGAAAATGTTGATTTATTAGTTCCTATACTAAAATGCCATGACTGTGAAAAAGACATTGGAGATTTCTTTCATTTTGTGTGCAAGGAGGAACTACTTCAGCAGTGCTGCTTTTCTGGCAGGCATATGTTCCATGTCCTGTGAACACTGGTGTACACTATAAAGCAGGACTTAAGAGACTACAGTGTCCTGGACTGAGCCACTGTCAGGCAAACAAGTCTTGATGCACCCAGTGCAAAAAATTAGTCCCTTTCAGTTCCCATTGACACTGTAGCAATAGATCCTGTAGTCCTGAACTGGCTTTGACATTTGGATTAAAATACAAGGACCTCAAGTGATAATTATGAATGTGCTAAGTCATTCCTGTTTGTGTCCATGTCTCCACTTCAGTTTTCACAGGGTGAACTTGGCTTCTCAGTAAGTTTTTGAAGTTTTTTAAAATTAGTCAGTATTGAGATAATGCTTTGCAGTTCTTTTCAAAGGGTGATGAGAAGTATTTCCTGCATTATAATCAAATGAAAAGAGATGGACATCAGACTTTATTAATTAATGGCAACAAAGTGCAAATGAATAATGCTACATTATCTACATGATGTGTAAAAAGCATTATAATTGTTAACAAAGAGCTGTTCTTTTTAGAAAATATTTGGAGTAGTGCTTATACTTAAAAGCTTTAGCACCCTAAATAGAATTATGAATGTAGAAACAGCTTATTCTCCAGCCAGTTTTGCCCAATTCCTGTCTATAAGATAAATGTACTTTTACCTAGCCATAATGGTCTCTGTTCTCTCCAGTCTTTCTGCTGGATGAATAGAAAACTCTTCCACATTACCAGGTGGGAGATACCAAATAAGACAAAGACCTAACACATTAGATTTGTATGTCTTCCTGCAGATGTCCCCACAGCATGCATTATTGAAGTTAATTTGTGTCACGAAAACATTAAGAATAATAATTTTTTTTAAAAGGTAAAAATTGCTGTAATATCTGTTAGGGGCATTGCTTTCACTTTTTGCACTTTTTAACTTGGAAGAATGATATTTCTGTAATGTTTTGAATTCTAGAGAATAGCAACATTGAAACTTCTAAGAGAACCACATAGATTTTTCAAAAGCAAATAGGATCATGTCTGTCAAACAAGATACTCTTAGCTGATCCTACCAGTCAACATATGCCTTCATATCCTTACTGACTATAACTGATGAAATGAGTAGTTCCTCATTTGCTCTATTGTAACTTAGAACAGACCATGGAATTCCTCCTGTGGAGCTGGGAGGAAATAATTTATCACTATCCTAGTCCAATTCTACAAAAAGGACATTTGTTTTAATCATTGATTAAGTCCACATGTTTTTTAACTTCTCTAAGTCTCTTGCATTGATGAAACTTCATTGGCTTTTTGTAATCCCAAACCCCAATACTGCTGCTGCCAGTAGCATTAATGTTTTCTGAGCTGTGTGGAAAAAATGGACAGATAAAAGCCTGTCATTGAACTGTTCAACATAATCCCTTGGTTTCAGCTGTCTCTTAGAAAGTCATTAAGGTAGTAGAAAGGTCAACATAATCCAGACATCCTCAGTCAAATGCAGAAGACCTAACATAAAATATTTACCTTAAGAATATTTATTCCTTCAAGGGCTGCCAACAAAACTAGCAATGGCAATTTCCATGTATCAGTCATTTAGACCTTTTCTATAGCCATGGTAAAAGGATGAATTTTTAATGGTCACTGGTGTGAAGAACTGTCTCTTTTTCCAAGACTTCTCACTCTTTC